GTGAAATTCGTAATTAATTACGATTATCCTTCAAATTCGGAGGATTATGTACATCGTATTGGGCGCACAGGACGCTCGAACAATACGGGAACGGCATACACCTTATTCACCACTTCAAATGCCAACAAAGCTAATGACTTGATACAAGTGCTGCGCGAAGCAAATCAGGTAAGCGTACAAGTCTTATGCACATGTAACTTTACTAGCTGTTTATAGTGATTTTTTTTATATTTAATAATTTGAATTTCTTTCGATTGTCAACATTCACAGGTCATCAATCCGCGGCTGGTTGAAATGGCTTCGTCGTCAGGCTACAACCATAAACGTAACTCACGTGGTGGCTATCAAAATCGCGGTGGCAATCATATGGCTGGTGGCACCGGTTATGGTAATCGTGGCAATCGTGGTTATGGTAACAATAATATGGGAGGAATGGGCGGCGGACAGTCGTATCAACAGCGCCCACAACAGGCACCGAATGGTGGCAATCAAATGTATCAACGTCCGAATGGACCGCCATCTCGTTTCTCAGCTGCACCACCTCAGGGCGCATATGATCGTAATCAGCAAGCCAGTGGACATAAACCTTATACAATTGGCGGAGCTGATGGCGTTGACAAACGTCCACGATTCAACCCACAGCAACAACCGCCACAGCAAGCTTCGGCCTATCAGCAACAACCCCGCATACCTTATGGGACCAATGCAAACAGTCATCCGAGTCATAATGCCCACCATCAACCACCTCCAAACCATCGTGGTCCACCACAAGTAAGTGGAGCTGCGGGTGCCACTTCAGCTATGTATACTCATGCACCTCCTTCGCATCATCATTCGGCCGCAAGCGCTCACTATGCCGTTCCCTCCGGATTTGGTGCCGCATCGGGCAACATGTTCGCCTATCCTCCACCCCCATTGCCCGTGCAGAATTAAGAGAACATTAATTTATTATTAATATCATCAGTAGTTTAAAACATATTGAAATGACTTTTGCATTTGGCATTTGTTTAGATTAAATTTTTGTTCATTGAGAGTGTCGTGTAGTAATGTACGTCGTGTCGTATTACTACGAGTATTCTGTAGCTTTGTCGAAGCTTAGAAGTGAAAGCCAAAGCAATGCTGCAATTCATTATTTCATTTAAACGCACCGAACACGACACTGTTCTCTTTATTTGATACTTTTGTTGCTTTATTAATTCTCCATGTACTTTTAAGCATTGCATTTTCTCTTATTTCTTTCTATTTAATTGTATTGCTAATACAGCAAATACAATATTTCAGTTCTCGCGGGTGGCATTACTCATAGTTGCTGAAAATACCCTCCCTTCAAAATAATAATTTTATTTAATTTAGTTTCTTGTGTTTCCCTAAGAAGTTTGTATGATATAATCTTATGTGATTTGCGTTCCTGTGCACATTATACAAATTAAAATAAGTAATTTGTTCACTCACTACTTCTATATATTCACTAAATTCCATCATTAGTTCTTACATTCATCACTACTTGGAAATAAATATTAGCAATTACAATAATAGAATATAACAGAAGTGAATTGTATTTCTTGAATTTTAAATGGACTTATACATACTTACAAATATAAAAGTGAAATAAAGGCAATTGCATTCATGCTTTTAAATATACCGCAATCAAATGGTGTATATTTTAAAGCCCCAAAATAAATGCCGTTTTATTGTGTCAGAATGGAATGAAAAATGAAGAACCACTAAGGATGAACAGAAAAGGTGATTCCGCCAGTGTCCGTTTATGGGAGGTTTCACAGTACAGAAGAGGCCAAATTTATATACATACACTCGGGATCACGCAAACCTTACCACTTAAAATACCGAATTTTAAAATGCCGACCCACAAAATACCGACAAAATTGTTGTTTTATCGTGTTCGTATTTTTTACTTTGGGTACAGCAAAAGGTGCAGAGTCCCTTTTTCTGCGGAAGCACTGAAAGATAATTCTACAGACACCAAGTTCAGACGGTGGCATGGGTTCTGTTCTTTTTCGTGTCATAGGAGGCGGCTTTAAATTCGACGATGAGGGAGCGTGTGTCGATCTTCCTTCCCCGCGTATTTTCCAGGATTTGGCGCATGGTGAAAATCTAAATCAAACGCCCTTCATTATGCATTTGCTTACGACAATACCATACTTTAAGGTAATGGTTCAACAAGTTGTCTACACTGCCCTTCAATTAAAGTTCAACCTTTATTTTTGAGGGGCAAAAGAAAGAAGAGTTATGAAATTTCACAAAATTATGCATCTGGCTACTAGGATTTCAAAGGTGCTTTCAATTGTAACCTTTACTTATTAAAACTGTATTTATTTGCTTCTGAACACTTTCCTGGAGATGGTCTCATCAATTGTTTCGTCAAAGGAAAAGTCGGGTCTCCCACATAATAAAGTAGAAATTTAATCGAACTGCATAGGCGATTTTCTGCTTCTGGTAGATTCATTTTTCCATTAAAAAGTTTATTTAAGAAACTACTGACTTTTAAAACTCCACCATCAGTTCGGCTTCCGGGGTCTATGTAGACTACGGTGAACGTGTACTGTTAATAACACAATCTTCACATATTGCTTGTAATTCTAGTACATTGGTCCGGATTTTGGTGGATATTTCATTTGCATGTATTTGCAAGCTCCCACAACATGAGGCATTCCTTTGTTTAGATAAAATAAATCGGTTGTTTCCCGCCACTCATATTCTTTCTTCCCAAAATCGGATTTTGTCTATGGTCCTACTTGGAAAGCTCATGCCAACATTTGACGACAAACTCCAAGCACCAAATACAACAAACAAAATATTTTTGCACCAATGTTATTTCCAGCCGTGGTTCTGCTTTTATTGGTTGACGGGTATACATATGTACATATGTATATGGATATTGTTATACTCTTGTAACTAGTTGCCACAGAGTATTATAGTTTTGTTCATCTAACAGTTGTACGTATCACCTAAAACTAAGCGAGATAGATATAGGGTTACACTTGTATATATAAATTATCAAGGCGACTGTCTGTCGGTCTGTTCGTCAGTGCAAGCTGTAACTTGAGTAAAATTTAGATGAAACATCGTGTCGGATTCTGTAACACAAAAAAAATGTCGAATTCGTAGATGGGCGTAATCGGACCACTGCCACGCTCACAAAACGAAATTGACCGAAAACCTATCAAGTGCCATAACTAAGCACTAAATTAAGATATAAAGCTGGAATTGGTACAGATGATCGCAGTAGCTGTTGAGAAACAATTTGTAAAAAGTGGGCGTGGACCCACCCCCTAATATGTTTAATGTGCATATCTCTTAAACCACTAAAGCTGCAACAACCAAATTAGCCCAGTACGAATATTACAAGAACTACTACCGATAGAATGAAAATGGATGAAATCGGTAAGCAACCTACTTCCCATATTGCATAATTTTAAATTCCACTTGATTCGTTCAGTTTCCAGAGCACAAATCAAAACGCAATTAATATAACGGGATAAAACTTTGCACGAATAATGCCTTTAGTGTGTGCCACCTTATGACCTCAAATGGTTTTCAATCCAATAAAAAGTCCCTAGGTACCGAATACGTGAACTCCAGTGTCTACAAGTATAGCTGACTTTTAACCGAAAATATCGGTCAATGTGTGATATACTTTATATAACTGAAATTGAGGGATAATCGTTCTCTTGAAATGGTATGTCTGTATGTCAAAAATGGGTTGAATCGGGCCAATACTTCCCGTAGCCCAAATATACTTTAAATAAAAAATTTTGAACTTCGGGGACTTTGTACCGCATGTCTCGGTCAATATGTGAGTTATCCCAATGAAAATAAGAGAGCGTGTTTTGCTCACAACAGTGTATATATTTGTGCCAAAAATAGATAAATTTGAGGGAAAATATAAGTAATTTCAGGATTTTCTTTACTTTGTATGATTACTTTTACTCCTTAAAGTATTTCCCTGGCTTTGATTCTTCCAAGTTGCAAAAGCATAAAATGTTCGGTTGCACCCGAACTTAGCCATTTACTATATGCTCTTACTTGTTTACTATATGCTCTTTATTTAAAATAAGCACTAGATTGAACTGATTCGCTTTCATTTCCGTAGACCTTTCCAACTGAACGGAATCTTTGTTGTTAATATGAGCAAATAAATTGTTTAAAAATCTAGTATGTATGTATGTAGGGATTTTTTCTGTTCTGTATATGGCTATGGAACTAGTCCTTATCAAAATTCTAACTTTTTTTCTTTCGAAACCGCTGACATCGAATTATTACAGTATACAAACCATACAAACTGAACAATCAGACTCACATTATTGCATGGAAAACTTGGTTACTTAATATCTTTAAAAACATTGAATTTTGAGTAAAAAAAAATAGTAAGAATTTGTTCATAATTTCTTAATTTACCACACGACGATAATCGAAGAAAACTTTCAATATAGCCTTTGCAACGATATTCGGACGATTGATTGTCTGTTTCCGGGTCGTCAGCACAGAACCAAGACTCGTTGCCTGTAATAATGCTTTTTGTGATATCCTGGTATTCGAAAAGCATTGTTTTTAGGCCCAAACGATCTTCTAAAATGGTCTAATCCTTCCGATATTCCAACGATGGCAGTTATCTCTAAAGAAATTGTTCCGCTCGGATTAGTGGTCAAGTGTGTACATAGCTAAAATTCGAACTGATACATTAAAATCAAGTTTTTGTATGGAAACTTTTTTATTTGTGAAGGGTATTGCAGCTTCCTTACAACCGAACATGTTATTATGTATGTTTCAACATGCTTGTCATTTCCGACATAAACACCCGTTTCCCGGTGAGTGAAACAAAAAAACTAGTGCATTTATTTTGTGTGTTGTTTGTATGTTGTTTGTTTTGCTCTAAACGTAATCAGTTTTATTATAAGAAAAACTATTATACACCAAATTATGATATACTAAAATAATGCTAAGTACAATACAATACATAAAATAAATATTTTTAAAAATTACTTTACTTATTTTGCATCCCAGCATACATTTGTTATTATTTTATTCATTTTTTTTTTATTAATTTGTTCGAATTTGACTCGATTTGCATACATGTAGTACTTGCTCTCAAATAAATTTTTCTCAAATTTATTTTCAGCTTTTTCTTATACATTTGTGTATATGTATGTATACTCTATATATATCTTTCAATATATTATTACTTTTTATATGTATGTATGTATGTTTTTGGTTATGAATAGGATTAATAACGTCGAAATGAGAATGTGAGAGTCATTTTTTGTTGGCGCCGCAGTCCGCCCATTATAACTATGTTTGTTACCTAATCATTCTTATTGATATAGTATGTATTATATATCTTAGTTCTTTGGACTGCTTGGACGATTTCCAAGTGGCGTAGTTTCGGGGCACTGAATGCTGGGCTTAACTGCTGCTGCGAACGTCTACGTTAATTTTGGCGCTGAGTTTCTTTTAATTAGATAGATATCACGAGCTTTCCTGGGAGAATTGGGTCTCCAGGGTGGGTCTTCGGTTTGGATTTTTGGCTTGGTTTCGTATCGGTGGTCCGGGGCTGCCGCCATAACCCGCTGCAAACAATTGTGGGCATGAGTCTTTTATCAGTTCTTGTGTTTCGCGTAGTTGCCGCTGAACTTGTGGAGCTAGGCGTTGAACGCTGATAGCCGGTGGGAACTTGTATTCCGTCGGCGGCTAAAAGTGTATATATGTATATGTAAATATGTTAATCAATTATATAATTTTTATATATGTACAAAAGCACGTGTCACATTGTTTGTCCGCGATGGACTCCTAAACTACTGAACCGATTTTAGTAAAATTTAGCACACTGCGTCCAGTTCGAACCAACTTAGAAGGTAGGTAAAAACAATTCATAAATAAGGAATATAGCGAAATATTAAATAGACGCCCTATTAAGCGGACAACTCCATTAACTGAACAGAAAGACTGGACAAGACAAGTCTCTTATTATTCCCGTCCTGCTGTATGGTGCGGAGGCATAGACAATGACATCATCTGATGAGGTGCCCTTAGGACTGTGTTCGACAGAAAGGTTTTGCGCGAAGATTTATGGTCTTTTGCACATTGGAAACTGCGAATCCCTGCGACGTCATTGCCATAGTTCAACGTATTAAGAGATAGCAGCTGCGCTTTCTAGGTCATGTTGTCCGGAAGGAAGAGAACACGTCAGCCTTGGTTTCGATTCAGAGGAAGACCTCCTCTCCATTTGAGATATCAAGTGGAGAAGGACCTGTCTGTACTTGGTATCTCGAATTAGCGCCAAATAGCGAAAAGGAAGAACGACTGGCGCGCTGTTGTAAGCACGGCTATAACCGCGTAAGCGGTGTCTACGCCAATAAAGAAGAAAATAAAAGAATTCAAGATTCTTATTTTAAATGTTTTGTGAAATTAACATTGTGCGATCGATATACCACTCATGCCTAGAGAAACTTTTCTCTAAAAATCTCCTTGAGTGCAGTAATATTTATTAGAAACACAAAACTCAAAGATTGATGGTCTTATTCTACATTTGACCGTTAGTTGTCAATTAGTAGTCTGGATAATTTTCAACACTAAATATAGAAAATTCTAGCGTTAAATGCCAAAACCTGATAGAAACTCATTACAATTGACAAATGGTGCACAATATGATGATAGCAAACGTTATAGTAAGAGTGTGGAGCTAGGTTTCTTCTCTATTGACTATCATGAAAGCTATTGACTGGGGCGATATTGAGGAATGTTAAAATATTAGGTTGTCAAATATCTCCCTTCCGCTTTTTTGTTTTTTGAATTTCGCAGCTATGTATAAAGTGTATTCTGTACAACTTTTCAAATAGAATCTAGATAAAGAATACTTTCAGCTAAACAAAAAAAAAAAAAAATCTTTATAGAGTGGTATCTCAAATTATCCCTTTTCAACCCATAGAGGATCGGGTTGTTCATTGACTTTTTCGTAAAAAAGAAAACGGTCGTACGAAGGGATAAACAATATATATTATAAGTGCTCTTTTCTGGAGGATTGACTTTCAACAGGATTTAAATTGTAAAACGTAACAATTTCAACACCGAATCAAAAATCCACGAAGAAAGGATGGACAATGCGAGCTCTAAGTCAGCTCTATTCATATTCAACGAATCTTGTAATACTATATAACGCTTTACAATCCCATTTATTGTGATTTCTTCCAGGTCAAAAAAAAAAAAAAACCTCATCAACTATCGGCTGTGTAGAAGCAATGCTTACGAATTCTGAATATATACGGGTTTATTTCTCCAATGCAAAATTGTACAAAAGTACTCTCGCAATGGAGTCTAAAGCTGATTTGGATAATTATTTGAAAATATTTGTTCTACTTCATCATCACATAATTTGGGGGTTCTGTTTACAACTTGACAACTTTCTTGGGACTTTCATAGAGAACATTGGTTACTTCACCGTTCACAATATTCTGGCATTTTTTTAGGTCAACCAGCACAATCTCTTGTATTTATAATATTATGGAGAACTGCTATGTGTTTTAAATTAAATGTAGCTTGTTAGGCTTCATATGTGGTGCTAGATTAGGGCAAGTTTCGATGGTTTGGATACTGGTTGTTTATATTGAAGACAGAAGAGCTCTCAAGTCTGTACATTAGAAGCCGAATACTGAGAGGTAAATTGTTAAGACCCAGAATACTAGTCGATCAACAGCGTTTTGCACAATTAAGTGTCATAGCTGAAGGGAGGTGAGTAAAGCCATCGAACAGTTTAAAGTGGAGCGACCGTAGTGGAGTGTGGTAATGTAAAGGCATCTTGAAATCTTAACAGGGGCACCCTGCAGGGTCGGATACCTTCCCAACTGCTTTGGATCCTGATAGTTAACAACCTTCTTAAACAACTCGAGGAATGAGGATGTCGATTGACAGCCTACGCTGACGAAAGTTGTGTTTTTGGCTCTACGAAACCAAAGTTAAGCCAATAATGATTATGGTGAGCGTTCGAAGATGATACACTTGCTAAAAAGTTTGAAATATCCAATGAACGGCCCTCATCGGCATCTTCGTTACATGATGCTATTTTACAAATAGCACCTGTGGACTTTACCGGCAGCAATGCACGGAGTGCGCTCTATGGCTTAGTGAAGCTGGGCATATGAAGGGTGCCAAAAGAATATATTTTCCTTGAACTGCATTCTTGAAAACTTGGATCACTGCGTCGTAGAGACCACTGCTGGTAAGTTTTCCAGTTATATGGAGTAAGGTTTAACATCCAAGCACTTTCTCCTCTATTGTTCAACCTCTGCAAGAGGCAGAGAGGAGAGTGACATTGGCCGTCTCAACTTTTGATGGGCTCTTCATCGTCAAAGCGGCGATTTGTAACCTGAACCTGAAGCTTAATCAAATTACGCCTATACGAATTTTTGAATATAATGATAAATTTATTTTAATTACCTGCACCGTGTGCATTTGCATTTGGTCACCGTAATACGGCTGACTTTGGCCTTGTGGAGTCTGTTGGTCGTTTTGCGCTGCTGTCATTGTCATTGTGGCCATCGCCATCGCCGCAGTAGTTGCTTGATGCTGTTGTTGATATTGCTGTTGCCCCGTTGGTTGGCCATAATATGCCAATTGTATGGGCATTGTAGGTTGTGGCGTGCAACTACTACCGGTGCCACCGTTTGCATAAGTGTTGGCCGCTGACACAGCCGCAACTGCCGTTGATTGTGCTGTGCCAATCATGTATGCGTTGGATAGCGGAGCTGATACAGTGTGCATTTGTTGTGCAAGCGGGCTGGAATTCATAAGCAATCGCCCATCCATTAGGCGTTTGGGACTAACATTCGTCTTCATGCCACTCAATAGTTGCGGTGAACCACTTGCTAGTATATGTTGAGTGAATTGCGCCTGCTGTGTTGGGTTAGATGCCTGCAATAGTGTTAGGGCGTTGGACGTATTAGCGGAAGATGCAGAAGTTTCAGGCATCATATTTAGGGGCATTTGTGGCAATACGGCCATTTGCTGCAACATTTTGGTGTTCATGTGTGAAATAACTATCTGTTGGGACGCTTGGGCATGTTTCAACGCACCGCTGGCCGCCACCGCTGCCGTCGACAACTGAGTCGCCGCTGGTGACCCATGCGCAAGGTAGTCAGCTGCCAGCACTGGTTGCTGAATGGGCATTGATATTGGTACCGGTACAGCGACTGTGGGCTGGAGCATGGCTCTGGGCATTGTCAGCTGTTTAATGGGTGCTTGGCGAATCGGCGTCGTTTGCAGCGAGCGGCTAGCGGAGGAGCATATAGAGGCAGTCAAACTGGCTGATTCCCAATGTTGCACCAAAGCGTTCAATCGTGCCTCCTCGAGCGCGATTTCTGTCTCGCTGGACGAATCGTAGTCGGGTCCCTAGCAATAAGTTACATTGATTAGAACTTTACTAGCAATATAGAATATATGCTTACCTCTTCAATTTTTTTATCGAGCATTCGAAAGAAGTTTTGTTGGCTCGTGGAAATTTCCCTATAGAAAGTAAGAGTTAGAATTGTTACTAAAGCATCTGCATAAAAAATGTTTATTGTCTTAAAATCTTACTGGCTTTGAAGTAAAGACAGATTTTTGGCTCGTAGTAGTGACACTGATACATCCTCATCACTATCTTGTGAATCTTTATTGCTTTGCTCGTCATTTTCGTCATTCTTTTCACGTTCTCGATTTTGACACTTCTCAGTATCTTCAACATGACCTTCATCCTCATCTGTTTCCGCATCTGAGTCAGCTGAGAGAAAAAATATACCAATATTTCTTACTTATTAAAAATATACTAATAAAAGTTTGAAAGTTACATCTATAAGAGCTAACATTACTTTTATCAACCCTAATTATGAACAATTTAAGGTAGATGGGATTATTTTCAAGATTCGAGCCTATGCCTTTTCATTTAGTAATATATAAAATACCTATAGGTATTTGAAAATGTGCTTTAATTTCAACCTATTTCACTCAAATCGGATTTAGGAAGCCAACATCTTCGGTATCTGGGGTTTTGAACAGTTACAGTTAGTTTTCAGCAAGAGATGTCATACATAAAAGACATTTTTGACGAAAATTGTTTTTCGATGACGTCAGTGTCTAATAAGTTATAGAAATAATGATTTGATTTAGTAAGGTTAAGTAATTTATGAAACATAGGATTTCAGCTAAAGGTGGGCGTTTGCTCGCCTGTTGTCCAATTTTGACAACGGTACCTATAACAGCCTTCTTTATTATATGGGGTGTGGTATACGAGTATAATCTTTCTGACGTATTTATTTAGTGAGTTATCCTCCATTTTCAGTAGACCCGTTATATGAGGAGTAGATGTGGTATCATTCGATTTTAAATGCCCTATGAATTTTTCAGGGAAAAAATGTTTAATATAGCCTTATTGGTTGATAGGATGTTTAAATAAAATTTTATAGGGACAAGCTCACAAATTACAGTTTTTGGTCTTAACTTGTAGTTTAGTTTTTGCATTTTATAAGTTTCGATTAAAAGAATTTCATTAAGATGTCGCAATTTTTATTAAATTTATCGGTTGTGCGAACGGACGCACGGACAGACAGTCAGTGAGCTGAGTCGATTACATGACCCGTTTCCCCTGTCTCTATATAAACGTAAACTAGTTTTTCAGAATTTGAGATATCTGAAATTTCACACGCTATTTTCTCCGCAAGAAGCTGTTCCTATGTCGGAACCATACAAACTGATTTATTAGAATCAATCATTTGTATGGTAAACATTTTTATTTGACAAGATACATAAACACAAAACTAAGGCATTCTAAAATCTTACCTCTCTTAAAGCATATGTGTTTACTTAATTGTATTATTATTGCAATAATGTTGTGACAAATTGCAGAGGCATATTGCTGTACATTAGAGCGGTCCGATTTTGTTTTTCTGAAAAAATCGCGTATGCGAATATTGTCTATGGATAATTTTGAACAACTCTTTGCCTAAAAGACCATGGTTTAAAACTGCTTTCGAACCAGCGAACTTTAAGGCGAAGTTTAAAAAATCTGAATAATTGGTTGTATGGAGGATATGTTATACAGTTGTTCGATCTGACCGATTCATTTGAATATCTTAAAAATTATCTTAGGTAATGTTGTTCAGAATAGTCCATATAACATTTCCACTACACGCGATTCTTCCATTTTTTTTTGGCTCCCTGTAAATCAACCCGCTCTAATGCGCATATCCGAGTACTTGTAAACAGGTGGCAGAGATGTGTAGACAAATTGATTGATTTGATTTAGAATAGTTCGTTCAGAAGTTATACGTATTGTGTATAACTACATATGTATTTATGTTTCTGTACATGAATGACCTCAAGTTATTGAAGAAAGTTAACCGCGTCATAACGGCCGAAGGAACGCTGGCAAATTGTTTGGAAATGCTCTTAGCGATGGTGGGTAATGATGCTGATTGGCATTGCAATGGGTACTGCAACTTTTCATATAATGTAATCAGAATATATCTATGCATACGTAGTTGTGTACATACTCATAAGTGACTCTCCGTAAATTATTGCTGATATAAAGTCCTTTAAGTTTTCAGCACTACTGGAAAACAGATGATGAACTTTCAAAGTTCCGTCAAACTTTATAATTGAATAGCTTTAGTTAAATTCTTTTGGAAAAGTAAACTCGGATACATATATTTGAACAATTTGTTTGGAATAGCTTTTGCTCAGTGCTCTATCGAAGATGGAAGATCGAAAGCAGCATTTTATGAAAATTTTACCATTTGACTGTCAAAAAGGTACAAATACAGTTCAAGCAAGAGGGAAATTTGGTGAAGTATACGGAGAAGATGTCTTGACCGAACGCAAATGCCACAGTAGGATTGCAAAGTTTCCTTCCGGCAATTTCGATTTTGAGAATACACCACGTCCTGTGAGGATTCGTGAAGCAATTGTGGATAAAATCAAGTCCTTGATTGTTCCAAATCTTCGAATAACAACTCGAGGGATTGCTAAAAAATTGTCTAACGCGACTGTTGAAAAGCACATTAAAAGTCTTAGATTAATTTCCAAGCTTGACATAGGGGTTCCACATGTAATTTGCTTAATCGCATTAACGTATCTCATTTGATAATCAAATGTCAAAGAAGCAATCCATGTTTGAAGCGAAAGAAAGTGGGCTGTTTACAAGAATGCAAAGCGCCAGAGGTTATGGTCTAAAAAAGATGGACCAGCCCAAACCACTCCGAAGGCCCATAGTCACCAAAAAAGGTTATGCTGTAGGTTTAGTAAGATTTCGAAGGGATCTTTTCCCTTGAGCTTTTGTGCGAGTATACCACAAATAATTCTGACTTCTTTTGTGAACACCAGGACAAACTCAATGATACACTCAAACATAAGAGGCCAGAATAGAAAAGATGTTATGTTCCACCAGGATAATTACAGACCTCATACAAGTTTGATGACACGCAAAAGCTTTTGCAGTTTGAATGGGATGTGTTATCATACCAATAATTATCTTAAATTTTATAAAATTTTTAGAATAGGTGCTGTATTCGGTCGACAAGTCGGTTCGCAGAATCGGTAATTGGAGCAATCATGGTTCGGTATCGCAGCACATTTAGTCTAGTGGATAATTCGCAGACTCGTCGTACAATGCGCACAGTAAACGCTATTGCTCAGAGTATCGAAGAAGACCTACTGAATTCATTTGCCATCGCTCGCAATAATTGGAATTATGGCCCTGCAATTTATAGAATATTTTTAAGAAGGATCTTGTATTATGGGCTTACAAAATACAACTCGTGCAAGAATTGATCAGCCGAATGGCTATCAAGCGAATTTCAAGATCGGTGAATGTTCTGAAAATGAAATGGCCGCCGATCTCGATTTTCGCAACCATTATTGACGAATTAGATTATATCCTCAAAATGTCTCTTGTTCGTGTGTTCCATGGGTAGAAAATCTTTGTGCTGATTTTGCCTTGAAACAACTTGAAAACGATTATTCTTTTAAGAAAATCATTTTCTTATTCTTTTAATGCTCATGAGGCTCACTTTTATTTGAGTAATGCGGTAAATAAAATAAACTGTCGATTGTGTCGGAAAGAAAATCCTATGAGAAACCATTGCATTCACCTAAAGTGATAGTTTGGTGTGGTTTTTGGTCTGGTGGAATCATCGATCCGTACTTCTTTTGCATTGAAGCTGTCACTGGAGATTGGTATAGATCGATGATAACCAAGATTATAAAATCTATATATATAATCTATATAAAACTATAAAGTCGCAGTAGGAACAAGTTGAATTTGACAACACCTGGTTCCAACAAGAGGGGCTACGTGTCACTGAACACGTGCTACAACCGAATTATTACGAGGAAAGTTTGGAGATTCAATTATTTCAAGAAATTGTGACACTGAATGGCCACCAAAAAGTTGTGATTGGACCATTGGACTACTTATGAGATTATTTGAAGTCATTGGTCTCTAGCAATAAAGCGGATTCTTTGAAGCTTTAGAAATCTATATTGACAAATTGGCATTCATGACATACACCTTGATGTAGTGAAAAATTGGGTTAATCGAGTTCGTTCCTGCAGAAGAGGTGATGGACGCCATTTGAATGTTGTTATATTCAGAACTCAATTGTATCGGTTATACTTCACATTAAATGAAAAAAGAAAAACGTTTGATTTCTCTGAACAATTAGTGTGTTTTTTTTGCATTATTACAATTTGTTGGAAGGAACCAGAACACAATCTGTAATATCGTCATCGGTTTGTCGTTGGATTTTCACAAATGAGGGCTTCCCCAAATATTTATGTATTCGTTTCATTAACTTACATATATGCGTACTCGTTTCTTATATCTAATATGAAGCTCCGACACTTACCATGACCTCCTTTCTTTCCATTGGCTTTGCTCTTTGATTTTCTGGGATATAAATGGATTTTGCTCTGTCCACAGCCCATAATCCGTGTAGCAGCGTTGCTGCTATTACCGGTGTTGCTATTTTTGCTGCTTCTGCTTTCTAATCTGCTTCAAACAGAATTTGCAGCCGGCTGTTTGTTAGGCCTTATTGTTTTCTGTTCACCCTTGCTTTGATTTCTGAAAGGTTCAAATAAATACATAAGTCATATTAATATTAATTTTTTACTGAATAAAAAGGGATAATTCAGTTGATCAACTATTGGAGTACTAAAATTCAAAAATGGACCAAAAGGGTGCTGAGTGAGAGTGATGAATATAGAGTAAAATCAGACGCTAGTGCAATAAAGCGAGAGATAAAGGTCGCACGAGAGTGAAACCTCCCTTGTTAAAAGACAACGATCGGGAGTGTCATACTTTTAGTGAAATCATTAGGAGTCTAATGGGTAAAAGAGTTAGTTAAATCAGTGGACAAAACGGACCTTGCGTTTGGTACCTGGAAGATTCCTCATGATCAGTATGGTTTGAGGAAATAATCAGGATTTACAACCCCTCATTGCCCACACATCAGGGTAGTACGACTAGATAAAACTGAAGAACCTTATCGGTAAGTGTTATTTCTGCTTACTACGGAGTCAATCGGTCCTCTCAGTGATATTAAGATAGCTTTAAGATATATGGATTCTTAAGCTAATAGCAGACATCTCAACAGGTACAATTAGAGCTGTTTGTGGGTTTTAAATAATTTCTTTAACCTAATTGATGTTGTTACAGTATCAGTACACCTGATATTGCGAAGGAAGACGCTATCCTGTCTTCGGCGACGCGAAGACTTGTCAGATTAACGTTCATCCCGAAGGCCGGTAAGGGCTTCCATGTCTGATTGGGAGATTGATTAAGAGACTGATTGAGAGACTGATTAACTTGCACATAAGGGGTTGCATTCCGATAAATTGTTTCTTAAGAGCCGAGTACGCTCTAAGTAAGGGTAGGTCAGTAGATACTGTCTATACTATAGGGGCTTGGTTAGAGAAGCCATCAAGGTTAAATAATTCATAGTTGGCACCTTTCTAAATTTCGAGGGAGCGTTCATCAATACTCTACGTGAAGTTTTAAACCTAGTCCATGGTAAATAATTTTTTAAAACAATAAAAATTATAGTAAGAGGAAACCTATAGAAAACAAAAGATAAAATAACACAAATTAAGGGAAAAGTAATTTATACTTCTATTCTCAAATCAAAATTTCAGATTTTTTAAGAAAGTCAGTAGGTTCTGTATTGTTCGAATAATATAAAAAATATATACATACATTACTGTAGTGAATTTGGTCAAACATTTCAAATGAAAATCGATTTTTTAAATTAATTCAAATTTTTTGCAAAAAATTTATAAAAACATTCTTAAACATTTAACCACGTCGGACCCCTCCGTTTTCCCGATCACAGATCTTCTTTAACGCTTGTTGTGTTCTCTTTCGTTCCCAATGGCTTTCAATCTACTATTATTATTATTTTTTTATAATTTTCAAAGGCTTCTGTACTACTCTAATCAGTTTTAGACAGTTTTTGGGTTGAATCGAATCTCAAGAACTTTATTATTAATCCTTTTTGCGACAGCGAGTGATTGTAACTGACCTAGGTAATGTAAATTGATTTAGAAATACTTTTTGTCACTAATTGTCGTATTTGAAATGCGAACAATCCTAAAAGGACTCTCCCAATTTCTTGGATTTTCTGTCTGCTGACCACGACTCTCGAAACAAATTCCATATCCAAAACCTATTGTCAACTACGCAGCCTTCAGCAACGAAGAATAGGAGATTGTGCCAGCAAGATATTTGGAACATATTTAAAAATATATTCAAACTCCATAGTGATATTTTTACAAAGTACTCGTATAAAGTTAGGATTGGGTGTAACGAAAGTGGTGTACTTTTGCAATTCGCAAGGATCAAAGCTGGGGACAAACTTTAGGTGTTCCCAAAAAACTGTTGCATAAAAATACAATATTCGTTATTCGAACAAATGATGAATGCATTGACATCTTTTGGTATCTTACTAGGTTACATTCTCTACTATATGATAACTGAGACAATTCACGCACCGACTTCACTCATTTTTTCATTCAACTTCATTATATTCAATATTAGACGTACTCTTAATTTTGCTAAAATACACGTTTACCGATATTTGCGGTATAAATTCAATCGGTTGCATACTTATATCAGCTATATGCGGCTAGGAGTAATATTATCCATTTTAAGTACAAATATTAGACGAAATAGACGTCCTATGAATTTCTCCATAACCACAGACTGGCCGATATCTATGCTATAAAGTCAACGGGATGTTTCACAATCCTTATATTCGGTATATAGACGCTTAGGGAAGTATTGATCCGATTTTACCCATTTTTGACAAAAGGATACGCTATTAACGAACAAAGATTTCTCTGTATTTCAATAATATATTTTGCGGATTGTCCGAGTCAACCAGGGTAAGGATATAGGATACTTTTTATCTGTTTGTGTCAAAATTTAATATAATTCATAAATCCAAAAAATTATATATCAAATCATAAGCATTTGTTCAAAACTCGTGTTTGTAGGAAGCATTTGAATATTTCACTTCTTCAAAAAAAAAAAAAAATAACAATAAAATCAACCTCACATCTACATATATGTATATACAAAAGAAAGTTGTTGTTAGTTACACCGTTTATAATTCAAGAATGGCTGAACCGATTTGACTAAAAGAATAAAAACTTCAAAATTCATGTTTGTAGGAATCAATTGAATGTATGCGTACAATTCTAAACAGATTCTTCCTCAAAAATAATACATTTGCTAAGTATTGTATTTGGAATAGTAGAAAAGAAGTGCAACCAAATATGCAGTGAAATCGATTACAACTGGCTCAGTAATCAGTCATTGAGTATTTATTATACCACGTGCATCCCAAAAGACTGATGTCGTAACCTTTCCAGCCGCATTTTTCGCCTTTTGACGCCTGAAAATCGGTTCATCATGTGCAGTCCATTAAAATGACTGTCGATTGGACTCCAGTGGGAAATGATGGAGCTAGGTTTCTATCTCCTACGCAAAAATTCGGCTTTATTCCGATCAGAGAGCACTCAAAGCTTCTGAGAATCAGTTTTTTGTTGGATTATGAACTTGGAAGGCACCCACTTTGCACAGAGCTTTCGCCTCTTTAAGCTTAACAGATATCTTTTCATCGGTGGATTTCCCTGATCCCAAATTGAACACTAGTTTCTTCCAAAAAGCAATGATTTATTAACACACGAAATGCTCTATGATCCATTTTTTTGTAAACTAACACAAGTTGCTTTACAGAAATGCTATATCTCATTAACTAATAATTATAATCCAACTAATAGAAATAATATAGATGGTAGTAGTAGTAGTATTATCTATGTATCAGCCACAGTGAAGACGGGTCCTCTAGTCGGGATATACATATTTAAAAACTTCCAACCAAAGAGGCCGCTAACTGCTGCGACTTCCGGCGACAAATTACAGGGTTAGATAGGTTTTCGATAACCGTCATTTTGTGGGCGTAGAAATAGTGAGGTCGTCAATCTGCAATTATAGTGCCTTAACTCGCTTAATTTCATTGAATATATGTAAAATACAAACAAATCAACCAACTACAATGCCACAAAAAGGCACTCGTAAATTGTCATTATTTTCTCTGGATATTTGATAATAAAAAATGTGCTTTGCTAAAATGGTGGCACTGTCCTTAATTACTATGCTTACGGGCCTTCAAAAGCGGTCGAGAGATCGTTGAAGACATGCCTCGTTCTGGGGGAACCTTCGACCTATTCAACTGATGAAAATATTAAAATAGTGAAAGATGGTGGATATTTTGGGTATGGAACGCCTTCTTACGCGACTCGTCCCGATAAAGTTGGTGTTTTTCAAAAAGATTACCGTAAGCAGACCTATTTAGACATGCCCTCATTCATGGAGAGCATTATATCTGCCGATGAGAGATGGGCTTGTGAGTTTCACATGCAAATAAGTCAACAATCATCGGAAGTGAACCGTTTTTCAGTTGATCGAAGGAATAAAACATAATTTGCTGAAGGAGCTGAAGGCCGTACTAAAAAGTGCTTATGCAAAGTGTTTCCAGAATTAGAAAGTTCGTTGACATAAATGTATTACAATAAAAAATAATTGTATATGTTGTGTTTTATTTACATTTTCCGGGTACTTTTTTGTATTTTTTAAAATGTTGCGAGAGTATACTATAATCATGGCAAAGATTGATCGAGATTTACAACAAATATAAAATTCTTTATAGGCTCTATCTTATAAAGATATTTTTTAAAGTTTGGTTCAATAACTAAGAATTTTCGTATATTTAATAACTGCTACATAATGTTGCCATAATCCTCTAAGCAAATCTGATCGTAAAATCAAAGGAATCATTTTCGCATTTTTATTTGTTTTTCCTGTGATATGCATGTACATATGTATGTATAGTATATATGTATGTATGTACATGTATGTACGTATGGTATGTGTTATATGTATGCCATCTGTATGCATATTTTTACATACGCATACAGTTTTTTATTAGTATATATAGAAAGCAAATAGGTACATATGTTTGTTCATTCTGCTCTCAGTTCATAGCTTTCTTTGAGCAAAAACACTCGTGTCGTTAATAAACAATGTATTTTTGCTCTTTCTCTTTTAATTCAAGAAAGTTTACCATATACACAAATATTCATATGCAAGAACATACAAATTAACAACACACTTATTTTAAAGTATCTGCTAAATATATACATACATATTAATAAATGCATACATATGAATGTATTTACAAATAGAAGGTGTAGTTGTTGGAAAACATATTTTCGTTTAGAGGGACAATTGTAGAGGCCATGGTGGTGGTTTTTATCCGTTCTGGTCGTCGCACTATCAGACTAATCTGCTTTATACATATCTACAGACATGCATGTGTTTAGCTTACTAGAACGTTTTGGCGATTTTTTCACCACGCTCATGCCTAAGATACCATAGATATGTTTGGAAGTAGCAATGAGGTGAATATATAGTGCACATGTATGTATGTACGCATGTAAAATATCAAAACAATAATGAACTGTGATAGGAGGTGATATAGTATATATGTACATACATACATCTATTCATAAATATGGACAAGTGTGTATGCATATGTTTGTCTTTGGGTATTTACGCACAATTTGCATACATTTGTGGCTATATGTATAGTGTAATGTGTTTGCGAACATGACACATACTTGAATGACAGCTGATATCGCCCCTCTCGGCGGCGCCTCTTTTCTGCTTTGCAGCTGGGTGATGGTGGTTGTTTTTACTTTTTTTTTCAATTTACCGCTGAGGTGAAAGTTGACACGGGTGCAGCCGAAATGCAATTATTACTTTTATTTTCTATTTTTTATGCCGATATTGACAAATATTTAATCGTTCTATATACCGCGACGTTGGCTGCAGTCATCACTTTTCTATACATACATACATATGTATGTAAGCTTATATACACATATGTATATGAAAGTTGTTGTTATTCTGTTTTCTTGTTGTTGCTGTATTTGTTGATTATTTCCATAGCACGCACATAATTATTTTAGCGTTGGCGTATGGAAAATTCAACACCTGTGCTGTGTGTTATTTTTTGTTTTTTATTTTCGACTTTTATTGTGCAGAATTCGCCATTTTTTATGCTTTACGCGTCAAAGTGTCTGATAAAGGGTAGCGCGTTTCCCATGGGAAGCAACCACAGTTGGTGTATGTGGTACGAACCCTGTTATGTTTAAAGGAATGTCGTCGTCGTCGCCGTCGGTAGCCAATAAACTTAACAACAACAACTTCAAAAATACGTTTTCTAAATGCTGTGTAATGGAAGGAAGTATTGGTGAAAGCAACACGATTGACGATGACATTAAATTTATTGGGGACAAAAGCAGGGCGCGTCTCCTTATAGAACGCCGACGTTATAGCTGTTAGTGAGCTGGCCAGTCGATACCAAACGCTCACATAAAGATGACGGCCAGTTAGTGAGTAGTTGGTAGGCAAACACCATCTAGGTAACCGCTATCTAGAGTTTAAAATATTCTTCGAGCTTCGTTGCCGATTTTTTCACGCCTTTGTAAAATTTCCACTTCCAGAGATATTCAACTTTTGCATTCCTCTATCCACCATTATTTCCTGTAGCTCCCGTTTTTGCTTATTGGACTAGCGTATACGCTTTTCCTGCTTCCTTTCGTCGATTCCAATACTGCTACTTAAAATACCCTTAATGCTTATTCTTCCACTTGCTTTTATTCCTAACATACATACATATATACACACATATGTACATGCTAACACATATACACACACACTTTCATATAAAATATAAACGAGTGCTGGAAATTTGTATCATGGTTTTCACACTTTTTGTAATACTTTCAAAACCAAATTTTCAATTATTGTTATTCACTGGCTGTGTTCGATTTTGTAATTATCCTTCTTATTACTATTTCCTGCATTTTATTTAGCATTTTCACTGGGTTTTCATTGGATTTTTACACAATTTTCACACGCGCCTTTAAGAAAAAATATGCACTGCGCCGTTTTTCTCCGTATTTTTCTACGCGCATCTAACCGAAACTGAACAATTCGTGCTTGCATGGAACGGTTCGTTTCTTCATAGGGAAATCCGGAAGCTTCACAACAAAAATAAGCTTTATACGTCATAGAAACTCACCACCCTTAATAATGAGAGCGCATGTGTTCGGCATTTGGCCAGCTATGAGTCGTCAGCAGCTGACGAGAGTCTACCATGGGATAAGCGTAATAAATGGGGATGTCCACAAGTGCCTGCTTTGGAGCGAACGTGACTGGTTTCGGTATTTTGATTTCGTTGCTCCGGAAACAGCCTTAAAAGCTTTCTTTGCCGTTTTCATATTTCTATTCATTCAACAATCTTCAGTACGCTTCGCTCTTTAAAATGTTCTCATACTCTTATTGTGTCGGCAACTGCCAACTGGTACTGTCGCCAACACCAATTCATTGTTATCTGTTTTTCTTAGTGCCAATGTTGCTTTCATCGTCGTTGACATCGGTGTCAGCGTCAACGCCAGCATCGGCGTCGGCGTTGTCATAGTATTTTCTGTTCGGGTGTGCAGTCGCATAAAATTGATTTTTCTATTTTTACGAAAGGTTTTCGCGTACAACGGTATTACCGTTTCGTTGACTATTTTTCAAGTGCTGACACTTCAAATTCCGTTGGTCCGAATACCGGTCCGTAAAGATACCCATCACAATGAGACAATTTCGCAGCTCTTGAAATAACTGCTAATATTCTTGTATATACAAAATGGAACGAAAATGTTCATACGTTTTAAGACATTTATAAATTTATAAATGACCAACTTTAGTCTCTTTTTGGATTCATATTCATTCGATGTCAATATTTTGATATCAACCATATGTTCTCCAATTCCGTTACATTCAATTATGGAAGGCAAGCCATTGAACACGCTTCTATAGCATTCGCGACGAGTCACCTTTCAGAATTAAAAGTCGGATTAGAATGAGTGTCAAAATCGTCAAAATCGAGAATTTTAACACCATGGTACGCTAAGAATCAATTTCCTGGGTTCAGTGCCGGATTAAACTACCGCGGGGCATGTAGCAAATTCTGTCTAGTGACCCTTGGTTTGCTATAGATTCTCAAGTTTAGGATATTAAATAAAACAAAATTGTTACAAACAAAGTTTTCTGGATTTGTTATGGGCAAATTTAGAGATAATACTTTCGAAATCGACTTCTTTAAGCAAGTCATGCTCTTTATGCAACAAAGTGAGATGATTAAGACGTTCTTTGCCCATCGTGTTCCTTAATTAAATTTTAAAACGTTTTAATGTTGAAAAAGAACGTTCGCCCCTGCAGTTAGTGATCATGAGAGAGTAAATTCCCAAAGAAATTTCTAAGTTTGGGAAAAAAGATTCTAAAGAATTATTTAATAAAAGTTTATAATATTGCAGTTCCAGAGGTTCCTGTTTCTTGTTGTCAATAACAGTAGCCACATCAGTTTTCAGCAGTTCTGCGAACTGTACTAATTCGCCGCCTAGGCTGTTCTCCAAATAATCTTCGTAAGCACTGACCATACTAGAGGATTTTTCCAAAATCTCTTCTGTTGTAAGAGATTTTAGCTGTAGAAAAACCTCAAAGACACTAGTAATTTTATGATGTGCTTTCATCAATAGACACCTAAAATTCGAAACGTTGTCCAGGTGTTTGATTTTCCACAAAGTCGTCGAGTGTAGTAGAGCCGCTGAAAGGGTCGTACTTTGTATGTATTTCGCTTGATTCGTCGTGATGTCTGTTGCTGGTATTCTCCACAGTAGGTCAGATTTTTGGCTCTTGCTTCAATATCTGAAAAAGTGGATCGCATTGCTTGAACGTAGCCATATAATGATTCATAAAGGGCGTATCCCGTATTAAGGTATTGATCTGACGACTGCAGCGAAGCACTGGTCGCTCACAAGCGTTCTAGGACTTCGTTCGACGTAATTGTAATTATTCCCGTTTATAACTTATCTCATCGTTGAAAGTAGTCCGTAAACTTTATTACGGCATTCCGCTTTTTGATCCACGTTATTGAAAACGTCTTCCAATACTTGCTTAATAGTGATAAAACCACAAAAGGTGCCTTCGTAGCATCACCTCGGGCTGACCACCTAGTGTCCGATAACCGTTTCAAAATCGGAATTTTTGAAGTATAATCTTTAAGTGCGTACGTAAGACGACCCCATAGATAGGTAGAAGCGGAAACATGTGTTGAATTTTTGAATGAAATCGAAGAAAAGTAATGCACTGTACAGCAGTCTGCAGCGCACTTAGGAAACAAAGTTAATGAATGTGCAAGACAGGGAATGTATTCTGCATACTTATTTATTTTCTTAATTCGGGCTTGTAAGCCGATGTATTTCCCACTCATATTGCTGGCGTTATCGTAGCTTTGCCCACGACAATCTTTGATATTAATGCCACTCTCACTCAACAAATCTAGTAAACTATGAGCGAGTTGTTCAGCAGTATGACCTTCCATGTCCAAGAACTTAACAAATCTTTCCACTGGTTCAGATGGCAGAACATAGCGTACTATCAGAGTCAGTTGGTCTTCATGCAATCCAATAAAACTGAGTAGTATTTCCACCTCTTAATTTCGCAAATAATGAATAAAGTCCTCACAAGTTGCTTTTGATAAATATGACGTATGTCCCTTTCCTTTATTAGCATGACTTTTCAGATGGAAGGTGGAAGTGATGCATAGCCTAAGCGCTTCGCGTTTAAAGCATGCGAGGATATTTTACGCTCCATCTAAATTGATATTTCTTTTAGTTACGGTCAGTGGGGGCGCGAAGCCCCCCCATTCGTGGGGTCTGTAGCATTTGCTATCTTGCTACGTGGCGAATCCGGCACTGTCCGTCCCAAATGCGGCAATTTTGCCTGTTTACGTACCCATTAAGTCAGTAATGGAATCGCTGAACAAAATTTGGTTCGAAAAAGTAGGATCTTTTTATTTTTATGTTTTGTTTTTTAGTTTTTTCACAAACTGTAAAATGCACCAAGTCCGAGTTGCTGCGAACGTTGCAGAAACGACTCTCCACGGTTTTCGTGTACACTCTTGCGATTCCTACATATTTCATCACGTTGGAATATTATCTAATAATGAATGCTGGGTCTCAAGATGGGTGATAGTACGCTCAGTAGGCCGATTATGTTGACCATAAGTTAAGAGGAGTGCTCGAAATACATTCTTTACAGAACTTGAATAAAGTTGAACGATTTGTAAACGTTTTTCAGGCGTAGGTATTTCCATGAACAAACGCCAAATAATATTGAACAAAAGTAACATGACAGCTTGACAAGACCCAAAAGAAACTCTGCCAAAAACAGGCTATTGCAAAAAGTATATCTACTTAATTCATTTAACATGAAATACACGTCGGCATATTGCATTGAATTTGTTTATCTGATCAAATTTGCCCGAAAAGGCATACTCTTGAGCCAATTCAATCATGTGAAAGATTAATGATATTCACTTGTTATAAGACTCAGGTATGTCAGGTCCTTTGGTACAATCCTAGCATTGGCTAGTTTAGGTCTAAATCGTTCATCAAGATTTTATTCGGTCTATCTGTAAAAGATATTGAAATCTATCTTTTTTGGCGAAGCCTAATAATAAGTATTCAAATCTTAAATCTACTTAAAACTAAAGAAGCTGAACAATGTGATTGRGCTTTTTTGGTAGAACGTTGCTCTCTAGTAGGCTGGTAGATCACTTCTTTTTAAACGTGTTTGATTGCAGGAATTCACCAAAGCATTAGCCAATGCATTTGGATATTATCGAAGTTTAGTGATATATCTATTCTGCTGTCCTCTATCTCCTCCTTTACCATAGGAATATCAAGATATTTATGAATGTTTTCATTATGCATGTTTCATAGTGCACCCGTGATTATTCTAAGCATTTTAAATAGTGATATATTATATCAATGTTAGTTGCACAGGTCATATCCCACAGTTGAATGCCATGCATCCAAATCGGTTTTATGATTGCATTGTATACCAGGACTTTGTTGTCTAGGCTAAGTTTAGAATTTTTAAAAGCAAATTTAAACTTGCAGCTCTTTATGCAAGTTATTTTACCCACTACAATATATGCTTTCGCTACATCAGCCTTCGATCCAGGTGAATCTCAAGATAAGTTACTTCACATTGTTTATTTTAACTGTCCGACACGTTTCTGGTCTTAGCGAGAATGTAACATGATTGCATTTTTGCTCCGGTAATATATATACGCCAGTTGGCTAGCCATTCTTTGACAAAAGTTAAGATCTTGATGCTCTGATGGAGCATTTGTTACGTCTTACTAGAGTTGTGTCATCCGCGAAAGTGGATGTCAATACGTTAGTAGCTGTTGGAGTATCTGTTGTATATATTATGTACAGAGTTGGTCCTAGCACGCGACCCTGAGGTACACCAGCCCTTATCACTCGTTCTTCTGATATGAAGACTGCTACTTTAACTGTAAATTCCCTCTGAACAGTACTCTCTGCGCTCGTATGCTTTGCTGATTTGGTTCGTAAATCTATTTACTTGCTATACAGTGCCACTTTTAGCACGAAAACCGATTTAGTGCGTTGGTATTATATTATTTTCAAGGAGTCATTCTTGATAGTAACATTTTTTCAAATATTTTAGAAATACAGGGCTGTAGGAACATTTCATTGGGTCCCAATTTTTATATTATATATTTATTCACATGCTAAAAACAGCAGAGTTTTGCAACATAAATAAAAGGCTGCCAAACACACACGAATTGAGATATGAAAATCAAACTTCACACGAATATAAAATATTGCTCCATTCTGGGAAGAAAAGTTTACCAATTCGTTTTGCACACGCTGACTGTCTGTAAAATAGAAGATATCTTGATAAAACTTGGTACACGTATTTCTTGGGACTGCCTGGCTGGAAATTTGGAAGCCAACATTTGTGGTTTAAAAATGTCTAAAAAGTGGGTTTGGCTTCCGCTCTAA